AGTAGAGTAGTCCTTTCAATAATCCATCGGGTGGTTAAGCCACTAGTTAGGTTACAGCTACCGTAATCTACTAATTTCACCTCTGATCATTGCTACATTACCTCCTGAGCTTTTGGGGGACACCTCATATTTAAACGACAATACTCGGGGACTCCTTATTTATGGTGCTTTCCCTCAAACAGCAATTTTTCTCCCTAATACTTTTATCCCCTGGGGGTCTTACATTCTTCAAGGGCTTTAACACAGCTTCTCTTCCCCACTCATCGTTCCTACTAGCTTCAATCTCACTCCTGAACTCCGGCTCCATATTTCCAAATGCCAACTGGATTTCACCTGAGTATTCAAAATAGGTTTTAAAATGCTATGAGCAATGACCACGATCATCATATTCCCTAGCCTAGAAACTGCTTTGTCTGCCTCCTTGAATAGTATCATCATTTTCTCAGGTACTCAGGACTACATATTGAAAGTGTGACTCTTTGTTGCTTCTCATGCCCTATTATTTGCTAGGTCCTACTGATGTGATCACAATATTTCTTGCATCCTTCCTTCTTCCTATCAGTGACTAGAGCTATGACTTCAACTCTGTTTATTTTGTTTTTCTTTCAGTCTTGTTTGTTTGCTGCTCCCAATCAGTCTTTTTTTTTTTTTTTTTTTGGAGTGGGGGCCATGGGGGTCAAATCCAGGGCCTATAGCATGAGAGGCAAATGCTCTGCCGCTGAACTACATCCTGACTCTAGCAGTCAGGTAAATGGATGCCTTTCTACTATGCTATTCCATTGTTCTAACGTGGTGGTGAGGATCTACTATCAGAAGTTCACTTTTCTTCCCTTGACATTCAAGATCCTCTGTTACCTCGCCTCAACTTGCTGTTTTCAGACTTGGATCTTATATCCCTCTCCTGCTGTAACAACTGCTGTGGTTTAAATCAGACTCCATCTGAGTTCTTGAAAGTGCTTCATCCTTTCCACCTCCCAGTAGTTCATTATGCTCCTTTGCTTGGAATGTACATTCATCCTCCCCTGATGCATGTGTCTAAATTCTGAGTGTTCTTCAGGAAAAAGCACAACTTTTGCCTTGCTTTCCACTTAGTAAATTACCAAGTTGAAGGTGATCTTTCTTAAACTTAGACCGATTTAATCTGTTTTTAAACTTTGGAATGCTTATAATTTCTAAGTTGTTTCTCTTTTTTAAATTTATTTTTTAGATTTAGGTGGACACAATATCTTTATTTTATTTTTATGTGGTGCTGAGGATGGAACCCAGTGCCTCACGCATGCCAGGGGAGCACGCTACTACTTGAGCCACAACCCCAGCCCTCTAAGTTGTTTCTCTTTGTGTTCGTCTTTTGACCTTACTTACTTAAGTCAAATTATTTGAGATTTTTACCTTCAAATTTCTCCACGTCACTCAGTGTAAGGAACAGGTAGAACTCTCTTCAATGTAGCATCGGTAGGAAAGAAGAAAACCTCATGCTAGTAATTATGATATACTTAAGAATGAGTCATCAGCAGGTATGGAAATTATTTTTATCTCAAGTCTCTGTGGGAGGGTGAGAGTATTACGTAGTTTACATAACATCATGTGTCTGGATGAAAACTGAAAAATGGCTACTAAGTATGCCAAGTATGGATACCAAAACTTGGTGTAGCCAAATAATATTGGTGCCTTTATGTGTAAACTCTATAAATGAGAGATTTTTTTTAAAACATAGAAACAGTACTAGTACAGAAACACACACACTCACACACACACAATTTTTTCTAAGCCTTCATTGGAAATTCATTCATTATCTCAAACTGAAAATGGTTTAGATTAAGGTGTGTCCCACTTCATCAACCACCATATGACCCAACTATCACATTCCCTGATATTTACCAAAAGCACTGAAGTCAGTGCACCACAGTGATACAAGCACATCCATGTTTATAGTAGCACAATGCATAATAGCCATTAGGATCCAGCCCAGGTGTCTTTCAATAGATATGTGGATGGAGAAATATGTGGTCCGTATACACAATGGATAAAATGAAATTATGGTATTTGCTGGTAAATGGATAGAATCCGAGAACATCACACTAAGTAAAGGAAGCCAGACTCAAAAGAATCAAGGGTCAAATATTTTCTCTCATATGTGGAAAACAGAAAGAGGAAAAAAAGGAATAAAATGGGAGATCTCACGAAAATAGAAGGAAGACCAATAAAGTAGAGAAAGGCAGTTGAGAGGGAGAGAGAAGGGAAGGGGATGGGGAAAGTATGCTGTGTCCATGTATGAATATACCACAATGAGTCTGCTTTCATATATAATTATGATGCATTAATTTAAAAAGTAATAATAGAGGGGAGACCAGTAGAATAGGAAGGGGAGTTATGATGATTGAGATTGATCAAATTATGTTATGTGCATGTAGGAACATGGCATAAAAGATCCCACTATTATATATAATTGCAACACAACAATGAGAGAGAGAGAGAGAGAGAGAGAGAGAGAGAGAGAGAGAGAGAGAGAGAGAGACAACTGACCACCTATAATACTAAGCTGACTTTTTCCAGTTTTTCAGACATTTTCATGGGGACTGGGTTAGCTTTCTAAAACTTTCACTTCTTTATTTTGCTGGAGTTGAGGATGGATTAAATATTCCTTTTGGCTTAAAAATTGTTTTACTATCATGTATTGTTTATCCATCCGGTTTCTTTTTAATCCTCAAGAATAGTCACTACTATAAGCCTTTCATATAACACACCCATGACTTAATTTTGGCAATCCTTGGTTCTAATCAATGAAACTCTAGTCATAATTGTGTTCAACCCTTTATATCAGATAATGTTTGCCCAATGAGAATATATTGTTTTTCTCTAACAGGTTGGATTGAATGTTTTCATTTTGAGTTTATAATTTAGATGTCACATTGGCAAGATTCTTGCAGAAAAACTCTGTAACTATCTGGTAAGACTGAATCTTCAAAAGATCTTCAGGATTACTGAGGAAAAGGGCAACTATGGGATGCCAACACTGCTGTTGAGTGTGAATGCTGGCTTATCACCAGAATCTCTCTTTGGGGTGGGGTAATGCAATTTTTTATGTTCAAGAATTTATTTATGTTCACTGTATTCTAGTTCATGACACAGAGTCCTGAGTTTTCATTAAGAAGCAACATGATTATTTGCTTAGTAAGCAAGGCATTGTTTGCTCTTTTTTTTTTTTTTTTTTTTATAAAGCTTGTGTCACTTATCAGGAGGTTTGCAGTAGTATATGGGTCAATTTTCTTATGTTCTTTTGGTTGCAAAACAAGCCTTACATCCTAATTGAAACTGTCCATGAGAATTCTCTAAAGTCGCCACCAGATCTCTGGTCTATTTCATCATTTGCTAAAGATAGTTGCAGGTGTCCTATTTGCTCATGCTCTATGAAGTTAATTTTAAATGTTCAACAGAAATTTACAGTAAATGATTCAATACCTTGAGATTTGGTGTGACACAAGGTATTTGAAAACATATGATGAGTATTTCACCATTTGAAGGACTCAGCTTAGTTCAAATTGCTTGGAGCATGGTGTGTTCTGAGTGAGCCCACTGAACTGGAGCATCTTTCAATCTTTACAAAGTGTGTCATACATAATTCGAATGCACTGCTCAGGATCTGTATTCTGTTCCCCATCAGGACTGCAATGTCACCTTGAGACTCATACCAATGGTCTTAGTCCTTGACAACCTCCTTCTCTTTACTCCTAGTGGGTGGGCTAGATTCTCCATACACCTAGTCACTCATAAGGACCTTGTTTTAATCCAGAGAGAGCATAGATATGACTGTCTTTACTGGATTGTCATCATGCTCTACTTGTTCACTGCATTCTGTCCCCATGCTTCTTTCTACCTGTAAGATCAGGTGTCTCTAAGACATAAAAATATCCTAGATAGATGCAATTTTCTTGAACACACTTTCCTTGAATGTCCCTGGACATTAATTATAATGTGACTGCTGGAAACCTTCCTTTAGCCCAAAGGGGTCAACTATAATAACCTGCCCTACTCTATTACAGCACCTTGTCCTTGTTAATTCAGACATCCCAGTTCAGTACTCCTTGTTCAGCATATCTATTGGTATGCTTACGGTAGAATATAAGTTCTTTCAATTTTTTTTTAGCAAAAATGCTTTACTATCTGTTATGGTTTGGATGTGAGGTGTCCCCCAAAAGCTCATGTGTGAGACAACACAAAAAGTTTTAGAGGAAAAATGATTGGATTATGAGAACCTTAACCTAATCAGTGTTTTAATCCCCTGATAGGGATTAACCGAGTGATAACTGAAGGCAGACAGGATGTGGCTGGAGGCGGTGGGTCACTTGGAGTGTTGCTTTGGGGTACATACATTGTATCTGGCAAGTGGAGTTTTTCTGATCATCGTGAGAGCCACTTCCCTCTGCCACATTCTTCCACTATGCTGTTCTGTGTCACCTTTAGCCCCGAGGAATAGAGCCAGCTGCCTACGGACTGAGATCTCTAAAACCATGAGCCCTTAATTAAACTTTTCCTCCTGTACAATTATTCTGGTTGGGTCTTTTAGTCATAGAAGAGAAAAAGCTGACTAAAACATTATCTAAATACGGATCCTCTTATTTATTTCCATTAAGTCCTGAGAAAAGTAATTAATCAGTTTTGGAGGTCTGCTTTGGGTAAAAATAACTTTGGAAAACTATTTCCTGATGGCTACTTTCTGTCCAATGGTCAAAAAGCACAAGGAGAAGCTGTACTAATAGATGTTTCTGTTAGAAATACTTTCTCTAGAACAATCACCCACTGAAACACCTCACTTTTTTTGTTTCATTTAATAAAACAATAAAATATTTGGTTTAATCAGACAACAGATTTTGGATAGTCTCTTTGTTTTCTGAGAGACTACTCTTGCATTAGAGGAAGAAGATATGCATTCTATAACATAAGACACAGCATATGGAGTTATAACGGCAAATAACGAAAGTCAGAGTAAAAGGAAGTATTACCTTAGGGTCATGTATTCCAGAAAGCTCTTCATAGATCTTCTCACCTACCATGACAGCAGCCAAGTTTGCTGTATACGTAGAAAGGCAAAACATACAGAAAATGGCCCAAAGGTTCATTAGAAATCTTCCAGTCCAGCATTTTGGGGGTTTGATGGCTGCTGTTCTACCAAACAAGAGGGCATAACAGACATTCAAGGCTGAAGAGAAGGAGAAGACTTTATTTCTGTTCCGCCCCTTGGGAGTCATACCAAATGGACTTTTCCATTCATACAGAGTGAGAAAGATGGCAGTGATATGCAGAGCCACAAAAATCCCCAGCCACATAGTCCAGTGGAGTGGCCACATGAAGGCTCCAATGGGAGCTGCTGTATCTCGGGTCCTCACTAAAATGCCCAAGCTGGTGGAGAAGAAAGGGCTAGTGAAATCAATCACCTGGCTCCGTGCAGTGTTGATGCTGAAGGAAGTGACCGCCATGTGGGCAGTCCCACTCAAGAGATCACCCACCAGCCCAGTCCAGTGCCCATTTTTCCAAGCTCCATACTTTCCATCCCCAACAATATAGAGGTCAAAGTCAAAGTTCATGTCTTCTGCTAGCTTTTCCAGCAGATCAATGCAGTATCCATAGCAACACTTCTTGAATTTGATTGGCACTGTATCATTACTGCTATGGAGGCTACTAAATAGGCCGTCCAATAAGGAGGAGTCATTAGTCATAGGGTCTAGACAGAGTTGGCCAGCAGGGCACAAGCCTTCATCATCTACTTCCCTTGTGAAGACAAATGGGTGTTCAATCAGGGTGACCACTCTTAAGTGTAGCTTACTTGGGTGCTGGAAGTGGGTTTTATGCCTCTGGGCCTGTTCTGGCCATATTCCATAGTCCATGACAATCTTCCCGCCCTGCCAGCTGCCCAAGCGGGTCCACATTGGCTTTTCCATAGGGTCATGTTGCAGATTCCAGATGAAAAAGTTGTTTTCTGAGCTGATGATGGTGGAACCTTTTACTTTGATGGAACCACTGAGGCCTCTGAACGTGGTGTTGGCTAGAAACCTAGTAAAGAGGAGCAAAGGCAAAAAGTAAATAAGAGGTAAAGCCAAAGATAGGAAGCCTTGCTTATCTTTGCCTCTCTGTTTTAATAACACGCCCCCCCCCCTTTAAAGGTATTCTCCATACTTTCTTCAGGCATTAATAAGCTAAACTCTGTCTGGGGGAATATTTCTATTTCTCTGAACTAATGAGAGCTTACCCTCAGGTTTTAACATCCCAGCCAGATGTTTAAAAATTGGTCTTACTCCAGATCTTTTAATTTTTAGCTAAGTGATGTATTATTGTTTTATGTTATAAACTGTTACGTACTTTAAAAGCTTTTCAAGTTTGGGAGATTCTGAGCATCTTTAACATAAACAATTTATACCATTCACTATATATTTCATTGCAACCAAATCTGCTCAATAAATATTTCTGGTTTTCAAGTGAATCTTAGTAAGTAAGCAAGCATCTATTTTTATAATCACTTTAAAACTGCAAGGGTTATGTTTCATTGAGGCTGGGGTTGTGGCTCAGTGGTAGAGTGCTTGCCTAGGATGCATGAGGCACTGGGTTCGATCCTCAGCATCCTATAAAAATAAAAAAAAATAAAGATATTTTGTCCACCTAAAACTAAAAAATAAATATTAAAAAACTCTGCATTCATAACATCAGAAATAGCCAAATCTTGTTACCATGTTTCTCCTTAAAGAGTATAAACAATTAATATATCTTTCCACATGGGGCCAGTTCAGGGCTGCATGTTGGTTATAATCCATGAAACAAAGAAAAGAATGATAAATAAATTTGCAGTTCTCTGGATAGCTTCAGGCTACCCTCCCTTGTCATTAGAAAAACAACTGGCCTTGGCTCTAGGGAGAGCTTCTGCCAAAAGTCAAAAAAAGGAAAATTACCAACTAAATGATAAACCCATTCCTAACTCTATGAATTCAGGCACTTTCAGTATATGTTCTGATATAAACTGGACAGGAAAATGCTTGGTCATAGCCTCTGTCTTTCTTGAGCCTGAGAAGATGAGAAATAAGAGGTAACACATAAACTGTGGCATCTCTATACTTGCCTTCAAGGCCTCCTGTCAGAATAATAGCCCAAAACTTTGGCATCAGATTCAACTGCATTGTAATATTGGCCCAGCCACCTGCTAGCATTGACCTTGGTCAGTTTACTGAACTGTAGGCTTTAGTTTCATTCTCAGCAAAATGGGGAAAATAATCCTTCCTCCATTATAAGGGTTGGACATAATGCATATAAAGCACATTCTATACTTTCTGATATGGAACAAATATTCTAGACATGATAGCTATCATTTAATGTCATTCAAGTTTTGTTTACAATTGAGGCCATCCCCAGCTTTCTTTTTCAAGTCTTTTATTATAATTTTTCTAGTTGGATACACACACACACACACACACACACACACACACACACAAATACTGCATTAAGATAAACCCATAGCAGTGACTCAAGACACATTTCAAATTAAAAGAAATTAAATTGAAATGTGGAATGTTACATAGTAGGTATTCTGAGGAACCAGATGATATAAGTCTAAGTGCATAGCAAAACACATTCACCCATTGCCTGTCATAAACAATACTCCATAATTTACAATTGCTAATAGAAGTAGTATCAAGTTATGTTGCCACAGAAGGGACATAGAAAAATCAGAAAGTGTGAAGCATGCACCAATGTTCAATAGAGATAAATGTAAATCATTTTTGAAGATGCTACTATCATTATATGCAATGAAACTCTTCATTTTGATAGACTGCATGTAATAGCAATTATTCATGTTAGCACTCCCTAGTGGGATTCTATCACTTAAAATAATTTCTATTATTCAACAAGTAATGAAGTCTCAGCTATCTTAGACTTTAAAACACTTTTCTGTTTCTTCAGAGAAGCAGGGAACCAAACCATTAAAATATACAGATTAATCAATTGATAATTATCTTGGTCCTATAAAGAAAGGGGGACTATGATTGTATTTCTGATAAGAAATCTACTTTTAGATTTCTTAAAACATAGACATATAAACATTTGCTAACATAGAGAATAAAAAAGGCCAGTAGTAAATAGGTTAATTTTATTTACTCAGGTTAGTAATCTGGAAAGCAAAGTGAAAGTTGTAGAAAGGGGAGTCTTTCATTATTTTAAGAATGTTTGGGGCTTAATGATTATGGATTTTTAGCTTGACGAACTCTTGAGGGATAGCCTCTGAATAAGTATATACTTAAAGCATTTCAGAAGGTGGCACTAGAAGTCTTCAGAATTTTTTTTGTAGATAATACAGCTCCCTACTTTCAGTAAAGCCTATTCTTCATTAGCAGTGGTAGCAGTTAAGATGACCATGACAGGAGGACAGTACTCAGTTGGCTTTGAGACAGCCATCTGTCAAAGAAAGAAATCAATCAGAATCCAAAGGTCTCCAGCTTTCCCAGCCCAGAAAACCCAGAGTCTTTTTCACTGTGCAATTGGCACTGATATATTGGGCGCCAGAGAATCTCCATTTATGACAGATTATTTATGCCTATTTTATTTTCAGACTTACAGAGAGGGTAAATTAAAGTAATCTCATCTATACTTTTTATCGACCGTTGCCTTCTCTATATATTCTATGAAATGTAATGATAATCAAGCAGAGTATAAATGCTTACTCTATTAGTTGAAAGATTAAAAGTAGTGCAAAGTTATGTTGCCATCCTGCTTTTGCATAAATTGAATTTTACCATGCTCCTTTCTACCTTGTCCTGGACTCTTGAATGAACAAGAACAAGAACAAAAGCAATTAGGCACAGTTGTGATGGCATGATAAACTGAGAGAAATACCAGGTACCATTTTACCACTAATAGTTACAGAGATGAAAACTCATTAGTCTTGAAGAGCTCAAAATCTAATTGTTGGGGGAAAGAAAGCTAAGAAGCAATTCACACCAGTATAACCAGTATCCCCATAGAGGGAAATCTGGTGTCACTGGAAGAGAGAACACAGCCACCTGCAGGTTTCACCCTAGGTGTGCTCAGGAACGCTTCATAGAGGAGGAGGTAGCAGCAGAGCTAAGTCTTGAAGAAGAAAATACAGTTATTCAGGAAGATAAACTGGAAAATAAAGCTGTCAGCCCTGAGAGATGCACAAAGTCCACAGGTGGAGAGTGCAAACTGTGGGACAACAGGTGGTGAGAAATAAGGCTGCGGATGAGGGTGGGAAATGAATCATGTCATCTCTGAGGTCACATGAGGCCATGGGGAGACACTGAGGAGATTCTGTCTGAGGAGGGACATGATCATCAGAGATAATTTTAGAATACCTTTTTCCCTTGCTGGTTCTATAGGAAACAGTTTAGAAGGAGGAGGTCCCAAATATAATTCCAAGTGCCAGGTCGAGTGCTTCCTCCTTCTCTCTCCCTCTCTCTCACTTCTCCCTGTGCTAATTTTACAAGGTAGTAGCAGGAAAAGTTGGAAAAAAGATGGTATGATCAAGAGATATTTTGTCTTCATAAAAAAAAGCAGTGATTTTTCAGAGGGTCAATGCATAGGATCATATTTAGCTCACAAACCACGCCAAAATGGGTCATATAAATAAGACCTTGAGTATTTAGTTGAATGTAAGCTCAGTGTAAGCCCAGAGAGCAATGTGTGCATAAGAAAAGATCAAACTAATCTTTAGTTCCTTTAATAGGAATTAAGAACTTGAATCCAAGGGAATCTAATACCAACACCATTCTTTATGCTGATCAGACAACTGCTCCAGCCTTGATATGCACTGTAAACAAATCTTCCAGATTCAGGAATGTTATAAAGATAAGAAGATGAAAAGTACAGTGAGGAATGTGGCTCAGTGATAGTGTGCTTGCACAGCATGCATAAGGCCCTGGGTTTGATCCTTAGCACCGTCAACACAGAACAAAACAACAAAAGATGGAAACTCTGAGAAGGGTCAGTAAGCACAAAAATCGGATTGGAAAGCAAGGTGGAGAAATATTTGAAACAGAAAAACACACTGCAACTAGACTGCAGAGAATTTTTACACACCCATTTTATGAGATTGGATTTTTTTTAATAGTACAAAGGGAGCAATGAAGATTTCTGAGCAGTGTAATGATATAACCAGAGGGCCATATTAGTAATACTGACCTGCAAGCAAGTAAAATGTGTATATAGGAAAGAAGAGATGGTGACCCAGAGACCACTAAGAAGAATATTACGACACCTTTGCAATCATATGAGGACCTGGCTCTCACTCTAGGAGTGAGGACCTAGCTTAGCACTGTGCCTTGCACACAGTGATGTTTAAGAGACCAGTCCAGCAACACCCTCACTGCCACCACAAGGAATCCTTTCTGCTTAAATGAATGAGGCTCGTTAATTAATTTTACTTTATTGAAAGTCTCTCATTATGTCACTAGTTAAGAATAAGTTAGATTTTTATGGCACCTGAGATAAAATTGGTACTTTGTAAATTACTTTAAAATGTTTTGAGACAGTTCATCGTATAAGCAAGAACTGTTTTTACTATATTTATGATCTACTCTAGAAGCCGTATTAGCACACAAAATCCCAACATACTAATTAAAGGATTTTCATACTTACTCATTCAAACAAATGAGCAAAGATATTAACAAACAACACATTACCCATTCAATCATTTATGCATTCAACAATACTCACTAAATGCCAGGCACTGGTCTAGGTGCCTAGTAGTGAATGAAGACAGGAATCTATGCAGCTTATATGCAGCTTATATTCTATGGAAGGAGGCAGAACAAATATGCTAAATGGATAATATGCATGAGATATTAGATGGCACTCAGTGCAAAGGACAAAAATAAAGTAGGAAGACCAGGGAAGGCTTTCTCTCTGAGAAGGTGATATTTGAATAAAGAGCTGAAGGAGGGGTAAGAACTGGGCATGAGGATATCTGGGTAAGGAGCATTCCATGTATACAGAAAAACGAGTCCCAAGTCACTGAAGTGGGAATGTGTCTGGAGTATATGAGCAGGGAT